TATAAAAAATGTTGTTTATATCAATTTTTGTCAAGGATTCTTTTTATAGCCAGGAATACTCAGAATACTCAGAAATTAATTAGAAATAGAGAAATGTACAAGTTACCTGAAGATAAATTTCTACCCAACTATATAAAAGATGATTGGAAAAAAGAAAATCTTCACATAAAACGAAATAATGAAACATGGAGTTCGATATCTGTACAACAGCAAAGGAAGAATAATTATATACATCAATCTCCATCTTTTAACTTTACACACAATCATACAAAATATAATGAATTATCGTGAGTGTAACACTTTCTATATTTTGCAATTAGTTTTTTACTATTAAAGTATAGTACTACTAGATAAAGAATTTTTTATTCCATAAGGAAAATAATTTTGAGTTGCTTAGAAGATGCATATTGTTTTAGAATGTACAATGAACAAAGTTTAACACACAAGAGATTCAAAAGAGGTGTGATACATTTGTACAATATGGTAGTATGCGCCACTGGATGTAACCCTTTAGCTTACAAGGGATATGGATGTTACTGTGGCTTTTTGGGTTCAGGATATGTAATAGATGAGATAGATAGGTAACATTCCTATGCACAAATGAAAAATGTAATATAGTTTATAATCTAATAATTCTTATAGGTGCTGTAAAATGCATGATTGGTGTTATGATGCTACAGATTGTCCAACGTTTTCAGAATACTTTGTACCATACTATTGGAGATGTTATCATGGATATAAACCAATATGTGGTTAGCTTAATAGAAGGCATTATCCTTATTTAAAAAAAACTTACATTTATTTGATAGTACGTTTCTCTTTCTATTGTAGCTGTTGAGCATGGAAACTGGGGAGGATCTGGATCATGTGCTCAGCGATTATGCGAATGCGATCGTTCATTCGCCGAATGTTTAAAACGTTATCCGTGCCCAACGACCAAAGCTGTATGTACTTCTTCACCTTGGAGATTGGTGCAAAATCTTTTTATGATTATGTAATTATCGATATAGAATTATAAAATTGAGTTAAGAGTTAATTAATTTATAATCTGATAATATCGTGTTCATGCCAAAGATAAGAAGTGTAGTTTAATAAATATTGTAACATTTATTATAATAAAAGGTACAAATTTTTCTATAACATTATAAAGTAACAATACACATTGAATTTAGCAAAAGAATAAGTGTTCATTAAAATGTACAAAAAAGTATATAGTAAATTACTTATATAATACATGATATTATCCATTTTTCCTATTTTCCAGTAAAATCTTATTTACAATCAGTTCACATGCTTTTTATTTTAATTATTTATAACATATTTATACCTCCGGTTAAATGTACAATTCTGTTTTTATATTTCTTTGAAATATCTTTTTCAATCTGGAAGTAATATGAAAAAATTAATAAATAAAAATATACTAATATATGAAACTTATGAATGAAAAATTATTGCAGATACCTCTGTTTGTAATTCTTTTGTTCTTTGTATAAGAAGTTGAAGAAGAGGTCGAACGGTAGAAACTTCTTTTGCGAAGTTTTCTCGTTTTTCTCTCATAGAGTTTTGTAAAACTATCATTTTATCAACCAAACTTAATTTTTGTTTTAATGATGAAGTTAAAACATCTACGTATCTGTAAAAAGAAATAAATATTGTAATTTCTTTAAAATAATGTATAAATGATAATGTATAAATAATATTACATAATAATGTACAAATGATATTACATCAATTTTGTTTACCTTACAGAATGTTTGATGTTGTGTAAATGCTGAATTTTAGTATTCAAAATTTCAGATAAAATAACTTGTATGTTATCTAACATATTTTGACTATTTTCCAGTGTGGAATTTTGTACAATAGAAGACGAATCTTGCAACTGACTGAAGCTTAGGAAATTTACATTGTTATCTCCTTTAAACTCATATAAGCGTAATTTAAGAAATGCTTCTAGCTCAAATAACTGGTTAATAAAATCATTTCTAGTAGATGGGTTGTCAAGAATTGTATATGCTTCGGAACCAGTAGCATTTCCACCTTCATGACCGACTGCTTCCACCACTATACCAGATTCTTCTAAAGAAATATTATAATCAATATCTTCAGCAAGAACTTCTTCTACATTTCCATCGCCCCAATCGATTTCGCCTCCAACATCCAAATTAACATCGCCGAAATTTATACCAATTTCTCCAAAATCAATTCCCTAAAATAATTAAGAAAACATTTAGAAAAATTCGTCAAATTATTTGCAATATTTTGGCTCACATACAGTATTATCGACATCCACAACTTTCTTTTTCTCTAAATCTTCATTATCTAAGTTTATGTTTAAAGGTGGTTCGCTAATTGATAATGGAGCTTCTCCATAAATCCATTCGTATGTAGTAGTGTTTCCTTTATCTAATCAATTTATAATATTTAATTCGATACATGAATGATACTATGAAAAAAATATTTTTACAAATTCAACATACCAATTATGTATTTCACTATAGGAACACAACCACCATCATGTTCTCTACCAAGAGTATAATTAACAAAACCGCAATAAAATTCCACAGCTTTTTCTAATAATTTTGTTTTTTTAGCTATTTTTTCATAAATTTCTGGAAGTTCTTTTACTTTCTCAGCTAATTTCTGCTTAATTTGCTCTCCTGGTATACCTAACTGCTTACAAAGTGAATTAAATTCTGACCTAGCTGCATTTTCTGATTTTTTATAGTCTGCCTCTTTCTTCTCTAAATCCTAGTAAGAATATATTATATTAAAGTGTAATAGTATATATAATATTAAAGTGTAATAATATATAGACTATCCATATAGTAAATACTTACAGCTTGAACTTGCTCTAACTTTTGAATTTGCTTCTTAGTACTTGGAATTTCATAGTTAACGTTTCTTATAAGTATTTGAGAAACCTCTGCAAGATATACATTATCCTTTTCATATAATCTTAATATTTCTTGCCAGTCCTTCATTCTTTGAGAGCCATATCTGCCAAATACATTTTTCGTATCAGCTTCAGTTTCTTTCAATATTTCCACTATTTTCAAACAATGAAAATAATTTATATCTGAAAGAGAATAGAAATTAAATAAGAAATATCAAAGAATACGGACATAGTAAAATGTCGACTATTTGTATGACATACATGAGCCAGATAATAATTTTGCAATTCCTTCATGAACAGGCATGTCTTGTATTGCATTGTTAATTTTCTCTCTGATAATTAAAATCTTTACATGCCAATCCTTAGTGCAATGTCTTCTGTTGATTAACCATTCCAATAATTTTCCAGTATTAATATCAATAGGAATATCTTGTTCCTGGATCAAATATAACATCAATTATAATTGCATAAATAATATTAAATCTAAAGAGAATACAAAAACTTACTTCCATGGTATAAAATTTTTATAACTTTAGTGAAATTTATTTGTTTTTTGTTAACAGCTGTTACTCTTTTTTTCATGTTCCAGCATGTTCAAGTGACTATAACAATAAGGTTACAACACCGGCTGTCTCAAGGATATATATATATATATATATATATATACTGTCTATTTCCGTAAAAACGAAATTTAAATCGATTATTATTGAAATTATAGTGTGTATAAAAATATATATATTTTACGTATTTTAATTGCTAATTAGTACATGTAATTAATAATTACATTTTCTACATGAAATGACTGATATATAACCACAATTATTTTTTACATTTTTAAATGTTAAAATCATATTTATATAAACTATATTTAGAAAAGAGACAGGATTAATTATTAAGATATAAAGATTTCACTTTAAACTAATGTCATATAAAATACGAAAAAGTATACATAATTGAAATGAGAGAGAGAGAGAATATCTCTAAGTGCTCAAAGTTGTTACACACGTCTATCTCTCTGTACAAAATGCAAATTTGAGATTCTCTTTATTTGTCAATTAATACATTAAGTACAAGCGTAACAAATTACATGAACATCTTAGCAAGATGGGAAAATTGTAGAAAGTAACACGTTCATACGCGCAAATGTTCTAGTTTATTATTTCACATTCACAGTAAGAAAAATGTGTTTCTCACGAAGATGTTACACTGTCAATAACAAAGTATAGTTAACTTAAGAATTCATCATTTAGAAGAGACTTGCCCATTTTATATTGCTCGTAATAGAGCAGATATTTTTCCTAGGTTTCATATAAAAATACCATAGGTTTTATATAACTTAATTCAAATTATACACTCATGAATACGCGCATACACAACATTCTCATACTCGGGGAAATCACATGTTTCTGCTGCTGAATTACTCTATCTGTCTAGATTCTTGGATTTTTGAGCCCAAAACAAATATGGACGTAACAAACAACTGGCCAAAATTATCATGGCACCATAATTGGTAGAATTTGTGAAACATTAAATATGACGGCATTGTTCCACATTGACCCGACAGATTAGTTATTTTATTGCGCACAAGGAAAGTATTATTATTTGCAGATGCACTAATGAATGTATTAACGTTTCCTCTCTGTGAAAAAGGTCCTTAAGACAAACACCTGTCCCACTGATATGATCAAAATTGTCAGTGTTTCCATAACGGACCATACAAGCACACGAGTATTCAAATCTTCTGCTCGTTTACGACCTTGTGCTTCTCTTAATCGATGATGTGTTTGATAGTCCAAAATATTATTCAAGTTCTTGTGTATCTCTTGAGCCGAGGACTCCATCTAAAAAGAAATACCTATATGACATATGTCTCAATATATGTACAATATAGAATACATAATATTACCTGAGTCATAACGGTTACATGCTCCCCCAATGGATATTGTTCACCCACCCTGAAATCCATGTAAACCAGTTTGTGTGAAAATGTTGAGAATTCATTGCTAAAACAGGCTTTGTATGCTCCTGTCATAGATGCTGTAAATTGATGCGAATCAAACTGCGTTTTTATTTGTCTGTAAATGACTTCTTTATTTGGTGCTTCTAGAATTACATCGACATCGTATTGTCCACCAGTCACAACCTAGAAGAAGTTTTTTCGACTGATATTATGCTATTTTGTGTTTTATAAAAAAAAAATCTTCAAGAGGACGTGTCAGATTTTAGTCTTCAATGACAAATGACTGACACTATTGCGTCGGAACAAGTTGCACGTATTACGTGGAAATTTCATTTTAATAACTACACATCAACGAAAGAGCTATCCTATTGGACACTATGTAATTTGTATACCTGGAATTCGAGCATCGCCGTCTCATTCTTCTCGATTTCCTGATAGAAACATTGTTTCGCATTGTCAGGTAGTTCGAACGATAACTCGACACCGCCAGTACGTAATATCGTGCCAAACAGGGAGACAAATAGCAAGCAAATCGACCAGTAGTTCATTCTTCGTTAGTTGTCTATCTCTCGCAGTTTACTCGCATTTAAGTTAGGAGAAAAAATTTTTTTAAGACGCACTGTTTAATCAGTCGAGAGGAAAGACCCGGCCAATATTTTAACCAAACAAACTATTTTAACGTGGCCGGATATTAGTCGTTCTAACGCGACAGGAGCGCCACTAAAACGGAATCGACTGCGGCAACGTCCAATTCGAAAGAACGTTCCATTTTTACGTTAAATGAGAAATGTTTGAAGAAATTTCGAAAATAAACTGTTTATTCATCACTATCTGCGACCGACATAGGACCTTGGTGAAAAACTGAAATTTACTCAAAATGTCGATACACAAAATTTAATCGTATAAAGTATTTTGTCATTTTAAGACGAATACGACGAGCACAAAAAGACATTACTTTTTATTACAATTCTTTGACGTGTGTGTACATTTTGATTGTGAAATTATATTTTTTGATATTTTTCATCAAATTTTGTACATTGTCATTACAAGGATCTATAAATTAAGAAACGTCACACATTGATGATAATTTACGAGACATGGGTACGTAAGTTTTGTCACGTATTTTACACAGCATGGATAAATACACGTGCTTATGACCTGGAGGAATATTAAATAGTTTCCTGTACACGCATTGCATAATCCTAGGAACCGGAAGGTATTTCAAAGTTTCCAATTTTTCAGCGCATCCTCTTTTGGAATCGTAGGTATTTTTCAAATGTTTTCCAAATACTGCAATTGTAATTAATATGTATTTATATTGAGAAACTTAAGTGCACAGACTTTTAGTCCCAGTCTTAGAAAGTAACAATCTTATACATTGTTCTTACGTTTCAAGTGTAATTGAATATTATTATTACGAATAATGATCGAGTATTTCGTTATATTATGTATTCATGCATGTAATTAGAATATGGAACGATCTTGTGTACACTTCCCACTAGATAACGAAGGCTTTACTGCTACAAGGAAAACGTACTTACGAATAAGGCAGTGTTGCGTGAGGCGCCCTAAGGTCCCACCTCCTATTCTAATATAGTCTCTTCGTCTGTCACGTTACTTATTCATGGAAGTGTGTTGTAGAACAAATCACGTGTATCGAAGGGCGCCCAAAAGAAAGGGGGAGCAGTATAAAGATCCTTTTCATTGCAAAAGGAAACCAAGCACGAAGGGACGTGAAAAGTTACATGTCATCCCGAAAATCATTTCAAGCAAGTATGATACAGTAGACTACAAAATTGAAAACACCTGAAAAATATCCTTTGGAATATGTATTTAGAAAAAGAAAAAAAAAATGTAGGTTAAGTTATTTACAAATCAAGCTTGACTGAAAGAATTTACAGTTTTTCTTTTTTAAATTGCAAAGCTATTAAAAGCTGTCTGAAGTTGATCTGATATTTTCAGAAAAATGAAGTCGCGATTATGCAGATCGTATTATGTAGATAAGCGGACAGTTGCATAGTTATATACGTGTGCATGGTATCGTGCACGTATGTATACTGATATTCATGTAATGTAATACTGTACGTATACGTCGTATCATATAATCTAGACTCCTTGCTGGCACGGCAATAACCGTCACGAATTTTTTGATAATTTCACGTGGCGTGCTCTCGAATGATCTTTAACGATATCTGCAGGTAGTTTTTTTAACATGTATTCATAGATCATAAAATCAATATAAATTATAATCGAAGCTAAAATCTACCGGACGTTTTTATATGGAGAATTTCTGAAAATGATGAAAATAATAAAGGAGCGTTAAAATTTTGAAATAAACAATGAATAAAATTGAGATCAAAATAGTATTGTGAAATAAAGATATTTCTAGGGATAAATTCCTAAGATATTCCTATTGAAAATAGGGAATTGATTGAAAAGCGATTCTTATATATAAATCGATATCTCTATATCGATTACATACGTTGCTTCAGGTAGCCATGATTTTACAATAGTTCTGCGTTACGGAATCACTTTGCATTTAATTGAACTTGCCAGTAATACATTTGCGACAGTCGTATTTATTTGCAGTGGAAAAAAGACAAATTTTTTATAGAAAAACTTGGAGCACCTGCTCTATGTCGTACATACACGGTTCGTGAATATCTAATGACTACGTTCCGTTTGAGTCCGTGTATGTATCTACATACACTAACCGTCAAAAGTTTCAGGATGCAAGGTCTATTTGGAATTGACTGACATGAAACTTTTGTTTTGAAAGATCCGAAAAATACAGAAAAACGGACCGTCTTAAGAAAGCAGTTATGGTAATTACAACTTTTTTTTTGTGAATAAAACACAGTTTATTAAATACAGTAGAAGATGTTCTTCAAGATTCATAAAGTATTTGCAATACTCTATGCGTTATTTGTAAGTTATACATAGATTTAGAATAATGAAGTTGTAACAGTACAAATTAAAAATTTGTAAAGATAGTGTAAAATCGTTTCAGATAAGCATTGTATAATGTTATAACGTGTGTTATATTTTTCCAAATATAATACACAAACAATGAAACAAATGCATGCACAAAACAAAAGCATCAATTACGAAGGTAATAACGTTTGAAATTGAGAAATCCTTCATCATTAATAGGTGTATTCAACTTTTGAACGATAGTGTATGTTCTTGCGTACATGTGTATTCGTGTATACACGAAGAGTCAGGTTCGAAATACGAACAACACAAGGGGTTTCTCCACCACGATTAACTCCATCGGAGTGGGGGAAGAAGCACACGATCGTATCAAGCTCGCACCATGAGTTTTCGAACGACAACGGTAGGAGGCAGGTCTCCTGTATACCTCTCTTGTCCTCTTACCAGTATTATTTTTATCCACGAATTTTTCTTTCGCACAGTCGCGAGGAATTTATCTGTGAGAAGAATTATTGTGTTTTTGCCGTATAAGAGGTAAATACGTAAATAGCAACGCGTGTGAAAGGAAGAACACTTACTATTGGAATGCAAGACAGAAGATGATCCGGTATAACATAGGTCGGTGACTTGAAAAATCTCCAGGCTACAAACTACGTCTATAAAGTAAGTCCGTCCAGATAATCTTTATTGGAACGAAATGGCTTACAATTTCTATTAGAACTTACTTATGTTAGCCCATGTAGAAGATCTTCAACAACTTTCATTTTTTTGAACATTTAATCCTCTTGTATTTGTGACAGTGCAAATAATAGATTCAAACAGTATAATATACAATTATAGCTATTTAGTTGGAGCAGTGTAAGCGTATTATGTTTCGCATAGAGTTATTAAAGAAACATTTAAGTTTCGAACGTTAGTCTTTCGTTTGTAACAGATAACCTTTTCTAGCGAGAATTTCACTGTCTTGTGAAACAAATTGCGAATATTTGTATATTAAATGATGTTCACGAGATTCCACGCTATTCCTTTAGTTACGTTCATGAGAACGTAAAATTACACAAACATCTGCGATTTAGTAACAAACTTGTACTGCTGTCGACAAATATGCTGCTTTTTGTATATTTTTATTTGTAAGAGATAATTATAGGGAAAATATTGAAAGAATTGGTGGCGTTTACGAGTGTCTCTGACCTCTCATATATTGTTCTAGCCGCAACTAAATTCGTGCTACACACAAAAGCATCTGCCAATGTTTCTTTGAATGTGCTCAGTAAGGCAATAAACGAAAGACCATAAAATCTTGGAACTCTACCTGATGTATTTCATTATTCGTCGTGTTTACGTTTCAACTGTTTACCATTAAACAAATTTATTACTTTTCCATTATATTACTCTCATCTTATGATTGCAATGAATAACTTTTTTACTAAACCATTAGCTCGTCCCTCTTACATCAAAAATATATGTAAGATACGTATAATACTTAGATTATCTGAACCTTATTTTCATTGTATATAAATGTTGTATTAATTTATATTTATCTTTATACTCTTATATATTACACACTTATTTCGTTTTACAATTGTGTCTCAATCATCGTATTGATTTCACTTGTTTACGCGTTTTTCGCCAATGATTAACCCAACGAAAGCTGCGTCGCTGGGTTATGCACGAGCCGAGAGTGGTGTAACGAACGTTAAAAATAGCCGAATATAGCGAAATAAATGAAGCAAAGTTGACGGACGCGATGCTGAAATATGCAGTTGTATTATTAGTGAAATTTCCAACGAGCCAATGTTGCCACTGTACTTGGATATGCACTTAACGGTTAACGGATGAAATTTAAGAGATAAGTGGTAAGAAAACACACCGGACTATATCATGTATAAGACAGATTATGCGTATACAGTACTTGAACTATATTTGACAAGAGGAACGAATAAATGTACATATATTGCTTAGTTTAGTTACAGATAGATCACTGTTACCAGTGTGCGACTTGCAAATCACTTTGCAATATTCGTAACAGTACAACATTCTTCAATTTTGAAAATTATCACCGAAACAAACAGGAAGATAATCCACGCGAGACACAAACGCGATGGAATGAATTTTTACGCAAGTTCATATGGAATGGGCGTGTACGCGCGGTGTCCATGCGGTTATATTCTCAGAATAGGATTTTGGCATAAGGCGACCATAAAATGGCACGGCCGGCTGTCTAGACTCGCACACGAGAACGCAACTTCATATACACACTTATTGTTCAATCGATCTCTTACCATCCGTATCCGACGAACTCTAGTTTTCACTGTCGGGGACATTTGCAAACAGGCAGGTCAACGTCCCATGAGCGCATAATTGAGGGAATCTCTTGGTTGATAATTAGCAAAGCAACCCACGGCCGGTGTAAATTGAAAGAAACGTTCTATTTGCAACGCATCGCTGACGGACTTTTATTCTAGGCAGATTAATTTACCGCGATGCAAGACGCGCGTGCAGTTGCACTACAACCGCGTATACATTGCGATTCGTACACACGAGGACACTTATATTTTAACTTACATTCCATATAGTCTATGGAGAAAATATTAAATATTTATTATATAAATATTATATTTTTAAATTATTATTATATTATTATAATATTAAATTATTAATAATAATATTAAATTATTATATATAAATTAAAATAATTTAATATTAAATTATTATATAATTATTATATTATTATAATATTAAATATTTATTATATAAATATTATAAATATTATTAAATTAGTCTAAGGAGAAAATATTATTACTATATTCTTGCTGACATACGTTCATTTGATGTTTATCCTTCAGGTTGGTTTGTTCTTGGTCTCACGAATTTCTGTTCATACGCAAGTTACTCGGATTGAAGTCGATTCGAGTTTAATTGATCTGGCTTCAAGCGGATATCTAATAGGAATGGATGTCTAAATTGGTATATGGTCGCGTCGAACTCGGAAGTAACGTTGTATCAGTTGGCTCGATTGTCCATTTGAAATCAAGGGACAGTTTATATCCTGTCGATTTGAAGCGACAGATTCTAAACTAGTTTAAAACAAGGCTTCAACCTGACTCTC